GAGTACTCTTTACACGCATGCATGGAGTAGTCGCGATTTTTGCAGGGTACAGCCAGACATGCAAATGTGCTTTCAAATGCTCAACTTCAATCACATTTCGTAAAAACACGAGCAGTTATCGGGTAACAAACAATAAGCTGGCGCAGAGACACTAGTTGGTCCGCTACAGCATGACAGAGGAACACTTTTGTAAGTACTCCAATTTACCACAAATTGACTAAATGGTCCAACGATTTTTGCAGGGTCGGATGATGCCGAGTTTACATTAGCATTAACAGGCAAGGTAACTTGCTGCTTATTACCACTATCGTTTTCTGTTACGACCCTGCAAAAATTGCGACTACTCCATGCATGCGTGTAAAGAGTAATCCCTAAGGACAAAGGAGTACTCCAAAATTAACCACAATTCATATAAAAAATATGCTCCAATTAACATTGCGATGTCCTAGGGCAGGACCATATACTCCATCCCTGCATTACATGGGAGTAGCACAAAACTACTCCAACATATTAACAATGGCATTGTTGTTGTATTTTTTCGTTTGTATACGCTTTTGTTCTTCACTTCTCAAATGCTTTTTCGAAATTAATAAAAACCAAGACAAAAATTAAAAATTACATGTTGCCTCCACGGTATTCGAACCCGAACATGCTGGGAGCTAAGAACTAACAGCGAGCATCTCTACACGTTCAGCTACAGCCAAACATGCAAATGTCAAATGCTCAACTTCAATCAAATTTCGTTAAAACACGAGCAGTGATCGGATAACAAACAATAAGCTGGCGCAGAGACACGAGTTGGTCCGCTACAGCATGACAGAGGAGCACTTTTGTAAGTACTCCAATATACCACAAATAGACTACATGGTCCAACGATTTTTGCAGGGGATTGTTTTGTTTTTTTGCGACTCGGGCAAAGGCAGTTTACATTAGAATTATCAGCCAAAGTAGCTTGCTGCTTATTAACACTTTCATTTGCTGTTACCATTGTTTTTTTTTTTTTTGTGACTCGGATGAGGGAGAGTTTATATTAGCTTTCTCCATGATTCAATGCTACAAGGTTGGATAAATATTGACATTTGTGTCAATCGACTGCCTTGTAAGGTTGCATTTGGGAAGGAAAGAGAAAGCGGGTAACAATTTCATCCCCTTTTGTGAAAAGGTAGTAGGTAAAGTAGTCTGGTAGTGCTGAAATCCGTTTTTTGTAAAAAGATTGAATTAAATATATGTATAAAGCAGATTCTACTGATTTACACAATAGACTATGAAATATTTTTTTATGGTATATTAAACATGCCATATAGATATTAAAAATGAAATAAATGAATATTCACATAAAATTCTCACCAAAGAAAAATCCTATCTACAAATATTCCCAAATATTCAAAATAAACCATGGTTTCATTGAAATTCAAAGGGACTATATAAAGAAATATACAAATAGTAAAGATGCAATTGATATAATACATATAAATTAATCTTTTAAAAATTATTATATTTGTTGCATTTAAAGATTACATGTTCAATATATTAAATGGAATTACATTTGGTTTTTTTTTAATTTAAATTTTTTAGTAATGTTTTCTAAGATTTTCTCCAATTAGTCTTGCTAATAATTATACTGGTTTGTAATGCGATCAAGCATACAAATTTGCAACCCTACAAAAGTACCCAATATGAACCCGCCCTATTACAAATATAAATTTACGATATTGAAAATGCAACGCTGTTGTATTGAGCAATAGCAGCTAGGTTTAAGACTGAAATTGAAAAATAAATTGGCGTCACTCTGGAGCGCGGTTCTAAACCCGAAGGTTGTAAAAAATAGTAAGTTTCATTTTGATTGGTCAAGTGTGGGCCGTGTGCAGTAAGTCGGCTCCCGGAACGCAGGTAAAGGTCTGCTGCATATTACCGCAGCACTTAATGGAAAGTACCAGCGGCACCGTAGGCTGGCAACGCGGGAGCACCGCTACCGTGAAGGTAGCAAGGGCGGAGCGCCAGGGCTCCGCACATCTAACCGACAGCACCACTATCTTTAAGGTAGCAGCGGGGAGCGCTAGGGCTCCCAAGCGCGTAACGCAACAGGTTACATTTAAAAGTTAGATCTTCAATATCGTAATTTAGTTGTATTAAAAATCGCTGATAGTACTACGGAGTTTACAACTTTAACAGCAAAACGAAACTTAGTCCTTCATAGAACATTATTAATTCAGTGATAGTTGAAATCAGCATGAAGAGTTCTATCGAAGCACTTTTTTGGGTGTTCTATAGATCGACGGTTAATACTCTAGGATTTTTCCACTTATTAAAGCTTACATACAAAACACCAGTATATCGCACACCGTCTTCAAAAGAGTTAATCCCTGCACCAGCGAATGTGGACGGACACCCAAATGATCCTGACCTGCACAAGAAAATATATTTATTAATATTTGTACTTTCACATTTACTTGTAAGTAAGCAACGGCTGCACTTGACCAAAGTAGTTCCGAGTGGACTGCACCAGCCATACGTGGACGGACACACAGGGATCCCAGCATGCAAAACTTACTAGCAACGGCTGCACTTGTTGTAAAACGCTACTTTTTGAATACAAATTATGAACAACTCCGATACTCTGCAAAGAAATGTATAAATTATTGTTTCAATTCAAAATATTGCCATTATTTTTGATTTTTTAGCATACTTACTTGAATTTGCGCAATAAGAAAATGAATTTCGACGAAACAATCGATGAAAATATCGGCAGTGTTGCCTGTTGAACTTTTTATACGAATACAATATTTCTCCTTGTATTTTAGTAGTTGTTTCTATAAATCAAAAAAGAAAGCAACACAGGTTAAGGCAGAATGCGGGAGCGAGACAACTGCCAGGTTATTCAACCTTGTATTATTGAATCATAAGCTTTCTCAACCAAAACATTAGAGGGTGAAAACGACAATTAGGGCGATCATCCATGCATGCAAGAAAATCCACATCAGCCTGCACGACACCAACACATTTTAAGTGAAAATACTCGCGCACAAGCACGGCATATTTAATTTCGATTTTAGCAATTAATTTATTGCAATTACGAAATTATGAGTCAATGTCTCATTAAGTATAACTGAACATACTATCGAAATTTTGAAAAATAGGGGTAAAGCCACTGTTCTTATCATGTAACGGTAGTTTTCAGAAGTGTGAAAAACTATATTTAATACTTGCGCCGGGTATTTAATGTCCGGCTCCACCCGAACTTAGACTTTTTTACTTGTTATAAGTACAATTGTACCTAAAAACGTACATGAGGAAGTACATTAAACGAATTAAACTGAAATAATTTGCGTTAACTAGTCAACAGATTTCATGTTATTTTTATAAAGACATGTGCACTTATGTATATATGTATGTGAGTATTTAATGTACCTACTAATGAATTTGTTTTTGAAAATTGAAATTTCTGAATTTTGTTATAAGCACAAATTTAAACTTGTGTAATCCTACCAGTTGAAATGCATACATATTACTTCAATGCATATGTATATTAGGTTGCTAATTTTTGGAAATTTCAAGACCCTACCCCTTAGTTTTATTGGTTTTTATGAGAAATATTATTGCCCATTATTATAGATTTTTTAAAGGCCATTTAAAGGTCGCGACCTGTCGATTTAGTTCAGAAAATACGATTTTGTAGATTTATGAGTTTTTGAATGACTATTTTTGATTCGATTTCAAAGATCGAATATGATCTGAGAAGAGGATATATAGTATAGGCCTTTAAAATGGTATACAATAATCTATTGTTGGAGTTGGATTGTTGGGATTTTTTATCGGGTAAAATAAAAAAAACATATATTTCTCTTAATTTTTTAAATTTTGACCATCGATAATTTCCACAATTTCAAATATGTAGTACTATCCAAAACTAGATCTATTTTTAAATAAACTGCATAAACTGTGTCGAAGTTAGGTGACTTTTCTTAAATACGGCCTTGAATTTATATTGTTTACTAGCCAATGCCCGCTTACTTCGCGGCGCCTAATAAGAGCTTTATGTTGGCCAATGCAAAAGAGCGTTTAAAAACAAAATTAGTCTGTAAAGTCAAAATTTTTGATTTAAGTTGAAACGACTAAGGTGCAGTATCCTTCTCACACATAGGCCAATAATAGTAACGCTGTGATACCATATGGAATACCTATCCCTTTTGGTGTCATGAGCTTTATCAATGGTCTTATTTCCACCTGTGAGATCTCTGCCAAGCATGCGTAATCTTTTTGTATGATCTTGCAACTACAACATTGGTGCCAATAAAAGTTCTTATAGGGAAACCCAAGAGCACAGAAGTGAGTTTTCTGTTAAAGGAGGGCCAAGAATCCTCGCTGTCCTATAGGATGAAAAGTTATCCGGTTATCGGCTGCAGCGCCATCCATTGGGTTCATTTTCTGTAAAACCATTGCTTACCATAAAATGAATACGTGTTATGAATTTCAACCTCAACTCCAGCGGCACTAATCGGATAAATTTTTATCAAAAGAATTTTCCATCATACAGGTACATAGCTCACATTTAAAATTTGAACGAAATCGGTTAATAAATACGATTTTTATACCCGAGCGCACTTGTGCACAAGGGTATATTAATTTTGTTCACATAACGGTTGTTTGTAACAGCCAAAACGAATCGAGATAGATATAGACAAATGTATACATAAATGATCAGGATGAAAAAAGAAATCGATTAAGCCATGTCTGTCTGTCCGTCCGTCCGTCCGTCTGTCCGTCTGTCCGTCTGTCCGTGTACACGATAACTCGAGCAAAAATTGAGATATCTCAACGAAATTTGGTATGTAGGTTTCCCTTAATCCAAGGTAGGTTGGTA